CCCTCCCCTCCCACCCCCTATGAAGTAATCAATAAAAATGAGAGAAGGAATGAAGGTAAACAGTCATGATTACGCTCTCATTGACATCCTAGAGCAAAGCTCTGCCATACACCATCTAAAACCATGAGGTACGATGGAGTCTTACACTGAGAAGTCTTCATACTTTTTACAACCGATCCAAGGCTTCCCCGAACAACAACAGAGCCTGCTTTAAAAAAAGACCCTTAGCGCAACTTTATGTACGCACCACTGTCACAATATGCCAAACATTATATCGCTGACAATGAGTGATGCTGTTTTGAAACCCACTACGCCTAACAATTATTAATGCTGTAAAATCTAGGATTTACAATCATATCTTAATGGAGAATGACTAAAAACAAACATAAGAATAATATATATACAGGTACAGTAATAACTTAAATTTGACTTATGTCCAGCACAGAAATTTAGGGGGTAGGGGAAGGGGGAAGGGTGCTTCTCTACGCAGGTTTGTTCCAGAAAACTGAAGCCTAAACCCATACATGTATGTCAGTAGCAAACATACATTTTTGCAGTAATACTTCAATGTTCGACACATACGCCAATAATAAATTAAAGCACACAACTTTTCTAAAAATTTAAAAGGCTCAAAACAAGCCTGTCAAATGTCATTCACATAACACCCCATACAGGACACAAAAAAATGAGAATGAAGAATGAGTGGCAAAAGAAACTGGACCATAATAATATAGCAAGGAGACAGAAGAATGAAGATTAAGAAAGAATAAGAAACTGGCAGTACCATTTGAAAAGTAGAATAAAAGTGGAAGCAATTAAACTATCTGCCTTTTTAAAACAATGACATGGTAAAAATTAAAAAATCCCCCCAAAACAAAGAGAGTTAGTTTTAGTAGAGGTTTTACGGCACTCAAAACTGCATACGCTCATATGAGTGCCAGAAAATTAGGTGTTACAAGAGAGTAACAAACATAAAAAAGAAGAAGGGGAGATAAGGACGATAGATGTTTGATAGGAAAGAGGAAGCAAACCACACCAGAGCACCTGCCAATCACCCACAAAACAAAGAGAAAGCACAAAAAAACACAACAAATATGGACAATGAACTCACACACTATGACCACTCATCTTTGTCATGCTGATCTAAATGTTACCATAGAGGTCAAGACAGAAATTAATCCATGAGAATTATACATATATATACTGAACTGTTTTGCTATAGAATGAAAATAACACAGCAAAACTGGCCTCCACCTATACCAGTCCTTCTAATGTGTATACGATTATGCCACAGCAATTACCTGAAGAAGACGGCATAGTCTTTCCTCAAATCAATGACTGAGGATTTTTCACATAAAGCATAAATCATGAGGTCTCGTGACTATTATGCACTTAAAGGAACCTGCTCTGACACTAACCTGCACAGCAAACACTGGCTAGTTTGCTTGAGCAAAGAGAAGCATATCCAACACAATAATGGTCATTAAGTACAGGGGAAAAAATAAGACAGATAGACAGACAGAAACAACAGTGTGAAAAAAAAAGAAATTGGACTTACTAGTGGTTTTTTATTTAGTTTTAGTAGAGGTTTTACGGAGCTCACAGCTGCATTAGGTCATATGAGTGCCAAGGGGTGGATGTCAACAGAGAAGTCCTTACAGGGCATCAGGCTTACTCTGCTCACCTCTCTAGCTTCAACAGCTCAAAGTCTGCTTCGACTATCAAGGCACCCCGGAAACAGCGAGTCACAAGAGCGAGACAAACATGACATACAAA